GTGGTAACAGGTGCCATCCATTTTGAACCTTTTCACAAGATTCTAATTTTCTGATATGCTGAATTTGAGATTTTCATTTGTAATCATCAAAATTAAACGAAATAAACATTTGAAATATATGAGTTTGTATGTAATGTATGAATATAATATACAAGTTTCACTTTTTAAATGGAATTACTGAAATAAATCTACTTTTTCATGATATTCTAATTTTATGACCAGCACCTGTAAATACTCATGGCTGTGCACGTCCATTGATTTTGCCCGACGCTGTTGCTGCTCCAGAATCAATCTACAAGGATCCCGTCACACAATCAGGAAAAGGAATGAACACAACTTCTGTATTTTCAAAGTAATTAACCAAAGACAGACCAGTTTTGTTGAAACCCTTGCTTTATTAATAAATATATGGAAATATTTATACATAAATGCTGTCAAAATGTACCGTTCATTCATACTATTGTTTGGAAAGCTGATGGAAACATGTCGCACACAACGCATGAATGCACCCATAAAACATGTTGATTTTAGTTTGAGGTCAAAAGTTTGAAAAACACAACAACGATGCAATTTCAACTGCGTTTACTCAGTCCAACACAGAATGATCTAGTTTGCCCTGACTTCGACATTCATCACTGGATTTATTGCACAATCTCGCATTTCCAGCACATGCTTCTGAGTTCCTCATGCTTGGCCAAACAGGACAGGACCCGACCAGACTGCAGCGGAGCTGCATGGAAATTTGGGTTAGAAAACGCAGCTAGAAAAAAAAGTCCCAGAAATCCAAGGAAATCGTGCAGTTTTTGTAGTTGTGTATTGCTTTTTATTGTATGTACACAACACAAAGTTCCCCAGAAGCAACCATTTTATCAGGTTTTATACTTTCCATGATGAGGTTCAAATCCCATCCCCTCCAGTCCAAACCCCTTTGGACTGGAGGGGATGATGGTTGCACGGTGCTATCCTCCAAAAATCTTACCCAAAAGCGTGGTTTAGGGATCTGGGAGTTATGAGGTATGTTGCTAACAGACAGACAAATTAACAAACCAGGATCACCCACATTTTATGGCAGCACAGCAGGCAAAACGAATTTTAATTGCCCAAATGTTTCTTTTATTTTGGAAAAAGCAAATTAATATGCACTTTTTTTTGGTGGTATTGTTTTTACTCTTCCTCACCTTTCACCAGCACCTTTATTCTGCTGAAATTGGCATCAGTTGCCTCAACTGACCTGTAGAAATTGTTTTAGGAAGCCCGTTTTAAGGCAGCCAGAAGGAAAGCATTTGTGCCCTTGTTCTTGTCAAGCATCCAAGAATATCATGGGAGGTGGTGCAGATGACAGCACAGTTAGTAGAACTTTGTTCTTCCTGTTTTTTTTGCACTGCTGAGTCTGCATCTTTGTGGGTGTGTGTCTGCTATTCCTGAGTCTCTGTCACTGTTGAGGTTTGACCATTTTTAAAACCAGGTCAGGAGACAATGAGTGGCTTTCTGAAACTTTGACAAATGCAGTTTTGAATCTCAGATGTAAAAATCCCAATGACTGGTTAGAAAAAAACACATTGCAAATATAATTTGTATATGTTTTAAAGCAGGTAAAGTCCATCTTATTTGTATTAACATGCCTGGTCTTTGAAAGATGTGCGGTTCATCCTTGAGTTGTTATTATTATTATTATTATTATTATTAGCTGTTAAGACATCAACAGTACTTTGTCTGAATGTTTCGGCAGACCGACTTGTCAGAAAAATGGACATGAGCCTTCATGTTGATTTTTTTAAACTGTGCATACTGGAAAAACTATCCATCTAACAGTCTTTTTTTTTTCATATATCCAGACAAAACATTTTGATCATATTTTAAGTTTAATAAGAGCAGAATGTAAGACTATTTAGCTTTGAAATTTTCCTTATTACTTACCAAGTGCAATTGTTGTTATTCCACTGGAAGATTATTTTAACTTAATGTAAGAAATATGAGACAATTCAGACTCGATTGAAGTGAAATAATCTGCCAATGGAATAAGAACAATTGTGCTTGGTAAGATTATTGAAATAAGGAAACTTTCTAGGGAAACAAGGCCAAATAATTTTACAAAAACAAAAAAGATACAGAAAAAAAGGAGCTTTTTGTCTGAATAAATGATAAAAAAATACTTGGTTAGGTAGACAGTTTTTCGACTGCCCAGAATGTGTTTGCCGTTTTAATGATAAATGTTTTGCTCTGTTTCTTTGCAGATGTATGGGCGGTACACCCAGGAACTTGGGGTGTACGCTAAGGAAGAGGCTGCTCGCCTGAGGGAAAGTGGTCAGAGGCGATCATTCAGTGGACAAAGCCGGACCTTGGACCTGCTGGAGTACAAGGGACGCTGTGCTAAATGCCGCAGTAAGTGCTAAACCACAACAAGTCATGGGGAAGCAAATAAAGTTTTTATCGTCTGTAACTAACATCATAATGACTCAATCCAGAGGACGTTGTTGTTCGTTTGAAGTTGAACAATTACAGTTCCAATTCTGGTTTCTCGTTTCGATCCCAGCTCCTAACGTTTCCCGATTCTGATTTTTATTTATTTATTTTTTTTAGAGGCAAGGTCAGCAAAGTTTACATGTTTCAAATGAAGAAGCTAACCAGAGTTCTTTCTGGATTTTAATTATGTGAATTTTTTACTTTTTATGAACTTAATCTCATCATAGGGCTATTATCGACCACTATATAAATATCAAACTTGTGAAATTTAACATAAATGTCATGAATTTACTTTGCACAGGGATACTCTGTGAATTGTCGCATCTGCACTGAAATTTCTTGTTGTTATCAAGCCCCTCTTCTTTGTGTTGGGACAGACAGCATAGGGAAATCAGACTGTGAAAGGTGAAAAAATAGCTTTTTTGTTTTTCTAAACAACACAGCATGTCTAGTGTCAGCCCTTGTCGTGCCACTATTCCAGTACCAATAACAATGCCGTTAAGGCTGGAACTTGTCGATCCGGTCAAAATTTATCACATGGAACCGGTTCTGAAAAAATGCAGTTTCTGTACCCATCCCTATAATATTCTTTTATTAAAGTTAAAGTGGCTTTGTCGTGTAAAATCAACTTTTTTGAGTTTTATATCATGTTGCAATATTTTCCTCTCATCAAAAACATACCCAGAGTCTTACTTTGACTCATTCATGCATATTTGATAAATCCTGTAGGCAACCAGGCAGGGGCGCAAAAACAACTGGTTGGGATTAGAAACACGTTTTGGGACCAGCTCCGTCTCTGGGCTGTGTCTCCAAGCTGAGCTTCTTCATCATGGAGCACACCTCCCTACCCCCAACCCCCACACCCCACCTCTGACTCCTGTAGACTCTCAGCAGCAACAAAGCAAACAGCTGGTGAAACTGAAAGTGAAACTGAAACTATCTGCTGAGCTCCCAATACTATTTCTCAGCGCAGCCCTTTTTAAATTCAAATTACCTTTTGAGGAAATGTATTTTCAGATGCCAAGTAAACTACACTGAGCTTCCATTTCACAGCACCGCCCCCCCCCCCCCCACACACACGTGTTGAAATGGGTGGGACAAAAGTGGAAGGAGGTTCTTAAAGAGACAGAGGCCAATTTCAAGGTGTTTAGAAACAGAAATGATGAGGAGTTTATTTTCTATTTAAACATAAAAAACAGCATTTTAATAACAACTAAAGGTGACATAGGCATATGTTTAAGTTCTCTACCATAATAAAGTAACTGAGAAACACATAATATTGCCCCTTTAAGCCACACTGTCGATTGCTGCCACACAATGTACATTTGCACACACAACCGGCGGATTGTCTGTGTTGGCGTTCCGGCAGCTTCTTCTTTCGGTTGGCAGACTGGGTATCGAAAGTAGAAATCAGAATTTAAAAATTTGAATGATTTCAGAAGAATCAACATGTTAGTCTCATTTCCAACCGATACTCGAGACCCGATGCTCAGTACTACTTGAAACCTTTTTTAAAAAAACATCGGAATATGAACATTGTTCTCCTGTCTGTAAATAAAAGATGGATCTAATTGACTGTTTAAAACAGTTCCTAGAAAGCTGCTCCTGTAATGAACTGCGGCTTTACTATTAACAGTTTCCACAGATCATGGAGACCTTTTAGAGACAACTCCGTAACTCTTTTAAATTAATGGAAGTCTGAGAATGTCACTGACAGAAAAAAAGGTTATTTGTGTAACCTTTACTGGCAAAAGGATAAAACGGATTCTTACAAGTTGTTGCTTGTGATTACAGTCCACATCTCAGCTGTGGGGCAAGACCCCTATCAATGATTAAAAAAAAATACTTTTATGTGCTCTCAATGAAATCTTCAGCATCACTGCATAAACGGCCCACACCATGTGAACATTTTTAGTGGTATAAACCTAATGCTAAAAACAATGATGGATCTGAACTGGAGTCACGATAGAAAAAATGATCCTTACAATAATCTTTTTACTGCACATTTGTCAGCATGTAAACATACATACACAGGAGGATTTACATGGACATTTCTCTATCCTTATCTTAATTCTGTTGATGGTGTGTGTGTGTGTGTGTGTGTGTGTGTGTGTGTGAGAGAGAGAGTGTGAGACGGTCATAATAAAAGAATCAGATAACACTGCGCACAGGACATGGAACAGGATGAAACAGGCTATAAACACAGGTTAAGGAAAGTCTGAAATCCATGTCTCTTGACCTTTATTCTCATCTTGTTTTTTTCTACCTCTGAGACACACACAAAACACACACATTAATGTGTAGATGGTCACTTATCTTTGGGCACATTCTTTGTTCAAAAATTTAGCTAAAGTTATTTTGTTATTTGTACAATATATTATTTAAGTCTTGCCTGAAAATTGGACGCATTGAGGTTATGTTTTTCATAGCAGTTTTGTTCGTTTTTCTGTCTGTGCACAAATTACTCAACATTTATGAACCTATCTGAATCCAGGATTTTTTAAAATGAATTCTTGTCTGTCTTTGCACAAGATTACTCAAACCTTGTGAAAAAGATGCCTTGGATATCAATGGGTTAAAATGAGAAGAAAAAAAAAACAACTTCTGTACTGTATACTTGTTCTCTAGGCATTTAAGATGGACATACTTTTAAATTTCTTGTGAACTAACCTTCATTCTGCTGAACTTTGTCAGAGTTGCAAGGAAATTGAACAAATAATTGTCCTGCTAAAAGAACACCAACATTAAAGACCGTGTAAAGTAAATCATATTTTCTTCATTAAACATTATAAATGTCACAATTACATTGTTGTAAATGTGTAAAAAGTCTCACAACTCTAGATACTTTAATTTTAGAGGTATAGATCAATTTGTGTTTAAAGGTATGTTTGTTTCAGTATTTTTTGGACATGTTTTAAAAGGCGGCTGCGTTTCGTCACGCGGCCGCCTTAAACATAACCCCAACATAACCCTGCCCCCTTCTTTTTGTATTAACTTTGCTCTCTGTTTTTTTCCTCAACATTCTGTAAACATATATTAACTAAAATGGTCCTTGGTTATTTTCTATAAGTTGTAATTATAGGACAACAAAAACAGGAATATGTATATACAGTGGTTTGCAAAAGTATTCATACCCCTTGAACTTTTCCATATTTTGTCACATTACAACCACAAACATAAATATATTTCACTGGAATTTAATGTGAAAGACCAACACAAAGTGGTATACAATTGTGAAGTGGAAGCAAAATTTTACATGAATCAAAACATTTTTTACAAATAAAAAACTGAAAAGTGCGATGTGCAAAATTATTCAGCCCCCCTGAGTCAATACTTTGTGGAGCCACCTTTTGCTGCAATTACAGCTGCAAGTCTTTTAGGGTATGTCTCCACCAGCTTTGCACATCTAGTGACTGCAATTCTTGCCCATTCCTCCTTGCAAAACAGCTCAAGCTCAGTCAGATTGGATGGAGAGCGTTTGTGAACAGCAGTTTTGAGATCTTGCCACAAATTCTCAATTGGGTTTAGGTCTGGACTTTGACTGGGCCATTCTAACACATGAATATTCTTTTTTTTAAACCACTCCATTGTAGCTTTGGCTTTATGTTTAGGGTCGTTGTCCTGCTGGAAGGTGAACCTCCGCCCCAGTCTCAAATCTTTTGCTGACTCCAACAGGTTTTCTTCCAAGATTGCCCTGTATTTGGCTCCATCCATCTTCCCATCAACTTTGACCAACTTCCCGGTCCCTGCTGAAGAGAAGCACCCCCAGAGCATGATGCTGCCACCACCATATTTGACAGTGGGGATGGTGTTTTCAGAGTGATGTGCAGTGTTCTTTCTCCGCCACACATAGCGTTTTGCATTGTGGCCAAAAAGTTCAATTTTGGTCTCGTCTGACCAAAGCACCTTCTTCCACATGTTTGCTGTGTCCTCAACATGGCTTCTGGCAAACTGCAAACGGGACTTCTTATGGTTTTCTTTTAACAATGGCTTTCTCCTTGCCACTCTTCCATAAAGACCACATTTGTGTAGTGCACGACTAATTGTTGTCCTGTGGACAGTTTCCCCCACCTGAGCTGTGGCTCTCTGCATTTCATCCAGAGTCACCATGGGCCTCTTGGCTGCCTCTCTGATCAGTGATCTCCTTGTTCGGCCTGTAAGTTTAGGTGGACGGCCTTGTCTTGGCAGGTTTACTGTGGTGCCATACTCTTTCCATTTCTAGATGATGGATTGAACAGTGCTCCGTGAGATGTTCAAAGCTTGGGAAATCTTTTTATAACCTAAGCCTGCTTTAAACTTCTCCAAAACCATATTCCTAACCTGTCTGGTGTGTTCTTTGGACTTCATGATGCTGTTTGCTCCCCAATATTCTCTTAACCAACATCTGAGGCCGTCACGGAGCAGCTGTATTTGTACTGAGATTAGATTACACACAGGTGGACCCTTTTGAGTCATTAGCAGTCATCAGGCAACTTCTGAATGCAATTGGTTGCACTCAGGGAAAAGGGGGCTGAATACTTTTGCACGTCGCACTTTTCAGTTTTTTATTTGTAAAAAATGTTTTGATTCATGTAAAATTTTGCTTCCACTTCACAATTGTATACCACTTTGTGTTGGTCTTTCACATTAAATTCCAGTGAAATATATTTATGTTTGTGGTTGTAATGTGACAAAATATGGAAAAGTTCAAGGGGTATGAATACTTTTGCAAACCACTGTATATAGTCATGTGAAATGTGATTTATACAGTTTGAGCACAGACGAGTGAACAGTCTGTGACAATATATTTTTAGATTTAGTTTTATTTTTAGATTTTGTCCCTGGTAAACAACATATTAGGTGAAGTATTTGATGTACTTTTAAGGAATTTTTTTCCAGTTTTTATTTTCATTGTTGCAGCTCTCACCACATGTAGTCAG